CATGCCCAGCTAATTTTTGAATTTTAATAGAGATGGGGTTTCACTAAAACCCGGTCGATTTGGCCAGGCTGGTCTCTCAAACTCCCGATGTGTGGACCTCATGATCCCCCCGCCTCAGCCTCTCAAAGTCCTGGAATTATAGGCACGAGACACTGTGCCTGGTCCAAATCCCTTTTTTAAATGTAAGGTAGCACATTCATAAATTCTGGAGATTAGGGCATGACTACAGAAAATGTCTTCCCATTTTTCCTTGTTGCTTTAAAGTAGAATGCTCCAACAAACATGGCATTCCAAGAATGGCCAGCATTAAGTAAAAGACAATTGTCACCCTCCTCATTCCAGATATTATACTTCTATCTGGACTAAGATCCAAAGTGTTTACCTAATCATACTCCTAATTCTTACTGTCTTGTCTAATTCTTTACTAAAACACCTACACTTTCTCTGTAAACACAGATTCTAAGCCACTCTTGCCTCATCCTTTACTTGGTAGTTTTTTTTTTAATTGCATTTTTACTTGGTAGTTTTTAAAAACCCAAATATAAGAACTTATGTTCATCCCTGTTAAATGTGATCTTGTCAGCTGGGTGTGGTGGCTCACACTTGTAATCCCAGCACTTTGGGAGGCCAAGGCCTGAAGTCAGGAGTTCAAGATCAGTGTGTCCAGCATAGTAAAACCTCATCTCTACTAAAAATATAAAATTAGAACAAGACTCTGTCTCAAAATAAATAAATACATAAACAAATTTGGTCTTGTTAGATTTTCCCTAACTAGATTTTTTTGGATCTTAATTCTAACAATCTATCTGCTATACTCCCAACTGTGTCATGCACACCTATTTGTGTTCCCATTATATCATCACTGATAGAAATTATGAAGAGGAAAGAGTATAAAAAGAGTCCTATAGCACGTCAGAAATCTCCCTGAAGGTCAGTGATCCTTGAATTTTAATGTGTACCCAAGTGATCCTTGAATTTCAATGTGCACAGAAATTCAAGGAGCTTCTGCGCCTTACCCCTAGAGATTATGATTTAGGAGGTCTGAGACAAGGCCCAGCCATCTGTTTTCATTGTCTTTCCCCAAGTGAATTTCAGATGGTTGGTCCGTAGACATTTGGAGAAACACTGCCCAGTGTGATACTCATCATAAGTCAACTCCTTTTGGGTATGGCCACTCTGGCATAATCCAACCAATTATCTTCACATCCTCCTCATGCTCTCTGCCACTTTTAAGAAGTTATCATAAGAAAGAAACCTATTCAAATGACTTGCCAAAATCCAGTTGTGCTGGTGTTATTGTATTTCCCTGCTTTACCAGTCCTGCCAGCCTATAAAGGAAGAAATAATGCAGACATGACTTGTCCTTAGTGAATCTGTTCAGTGTACTAACGACCAATTCTCCCTTATGCTCAGTGCCCACAATTTGCTCTTTTAGTTCCTGATCTAGAATCCTGCCAGGGTTTCAGGGTCAAGCTCACCAGCTGGTAGTTAACAGAACCAACTTTCTTCACCTTTGGAAAATTGCAACTGCCTTTATCTGTCTACAGTCATTTGTAAAAGCTGCTATTTTTAACCCATTTATTTCTAGTGTTCCATTATTAGAATGCTAAGCTTGTGGGAATTATTTATATGCTACTGCTCAAGGTCATCACTAAGTTCTGATTTTTCACCAAAAAAATTTGCAACCTCCAGCATAAATGGGTTAAAAGCCCTCAAAAATCAGGGACAGTTGCAAGTTCTTTCTGAAGCTATACTGGAATGTAATGCAGCCAGGCGTGAATATCTGAATCCATGTTGAAAATCTTTACCATGTGGAGTATTCATTCTCCCTTACCAATGATCACTCTACTCATTTTCAGTAGGAAGATCGTTTCCCTTGACATAAAGGACAGAAGCGAAACAGATTTTTCAGAGTCCTACTTTCTCTATATCATGTATCAATAGTACATTATCAGTTCCAAACAGCAGATCTATCCATCCTTTTCATCTTTTTCTTGCTCTAAACATAACTTTAAGTACATAAATCTTCCTTAGCAATTCTTACACGCTTCTATCCATTAGTGGCTTTAGTTTTCTTGTTGCTGTTCTTATAAGCATAAGCCATTCTCTTTCATTTTTTTTTCTTTTTGAGATGGAGTCTCACTCTATCACCCAGGCTGGAGTGCCGTGGCACAATCTCGGCTTACTGCAGCCTCTGCCCCCCAGGTTCAAGTGATTCTCCTACCTCAGTCTCCCAAGTAGCTAGGACTACAGGTACCTGCCACCACACCCAGCTAATTTTGCATTTTTAGTAGACATGGGGTTTCACCATGTTGGCCAGGCTGGTCTTGATTTCCTGACCTCATGATCTACCCACCTCAGCCTCCCAAAGTGCTGGGACTACAGGCGTGAGCCACCATGCTCAGCCAAGAAATGCAAATTCTGAGGCTCAAGCAATCCTCCCACCTCAGTCTCCCAAAGTGCTGGGATTACAGGCATGAGCTACTGCAACTGGCCATTTAATTTAAAAAAAAAAAAACGTTACTGGAGGCCACCCCTTGTTTCTTTTGTAAGCAGGAATATAATAAATACCACCATATTGATAAAATACTATTTGCTTTAAATATATCTGTGATAATCTACTTCTTAGAAGTGGAAAAAATAAAATCATTCAAATGGACTCAATTGTATATTCTAGTGTGAATTATGAGATAATTGACATCAATCAATTTTATGGGCAGTATATTGATGTTTGTTCCACAAACAAAGAAGTTCTAAGGTAGAGATATTTACAAGGTCTAAGTTGAAAGCTATATGTAGAACATGGCACTAGAGAAATCACAGAATTTATATTTGAAATGCAGAATATTCTGAAGATATATGTAACTACTTTTAATTGAGATGTGTAACAAATAAATAGTTTAAAAAGCAATTTCTACCCAGCCTGGCTTGCACAGCATATCTCAACTCTAAAAGATGCCAATAAGAGAAAGTAACATAATAATAAAAGAAAATAATGAAATGAACCGTAAACATAATTTTCTGAAGACATCTGGGATATGAAAAGAGTATACTGCATATACAACTATGAATTCTTTATTCTTAGGAAATGAATAGGTAAAATATGTTACTCATTACTACAAATAAAACAATAAAACAGCACACTAAACTGGAAATATATTAATTCTTCAATAATGGGAACAGTGACATATTTCTGCTAAATAGTTTTCTGGCTAAAATTAGTTATAAAAAGTAGAGTTTGAGCAGAATAATTCTATTTTTAAAAACAGTATCTTCTGTTTCTAATATGGAATATAAATACCTCATAAATAGTAACATTAATATTATTAAAATTATCAAATAAGTGATAAAAATAGACAACACAAATCTTAATGTAAAAATATAAACTTTGCCGGGCGCGGTGGCTCAAGCCTGTAATCCCAGCACTTTGGGAGGCCGAGGCGGGTGGATCACAAGGTCAAGAGATCGAGACCATCCTGGTCAACATGGTGAAACCCCGTCTCTACTAAAAATACAAAAAATTAGCTGGGCATGGTGGTGTGTGCCTATAATCCCAGCTACTCAGGAGGCTGAGGCAGGAGAATTGCCTGAACCCAGGAGGTGGAGGTTGTGGTGAGCCGAGATGGCACCATTGCACTCCAGCCTGGGTGACAAGAGCGAAACTCCGTCTCAAAAAAAAAAAAAAAAAATATAAACTTTGATTCACAGGTTCTGAGGGTTAGGGAAATATATAAACATAAGCTTTCAGAGGAAGGATTTGGTGGTAAGATATATAACCACATTCAGAAAATATACTTCTTATTCCTATTTCTGTTACTCAAAACTCTCAGTAAAGTGAGAATCCCTCAGCTTTTGGAAGTCTGTTTCTCTGTACCAAAATTGAACCAGAAGATGACACATCAGTGAGAAATGCTTTGATGACTGACTAGAAAATGACTGTAAGTGTTTATAAACCCAGTATGTCATCATCATCATCATCATCATCATCATCCCGTTTATACTTCCATTTGCTCAGTTAGTTATCTTGTTAGCAACACAGATACTATATAAAATCATCCTACTCTTTTTCACTTCCTGGCTCTTTATCATTCCATCCAGCTTCAACAATCTTCAGCTTATTTGGGGCTAATAAACATGCTCACCCAAAGAAAGTGAGGGTTTACAATGTAATGTTCTGGGATGCTGTAGGCTTCTTAGGGTAAAGACATCTCATAAATATAAACAGTTATGCTTAGAACCCATGATTGCTTGGGAGGCTGAGGTAGGAGAATTGCTTGAACCAGTACCAGAAAGGCAGAGGCTGCAGTGAGCCGAGATTGTACTACTGCACTCTAGCCTGGGCTACAGAGCAAGACTCCATCTCAAAACAAAAACAAACAAACAAACAAAAACCATGGTTGTAATTTGAGATTACAGAAGTTCCTTACTATACTTTATTTAACAGTATTAACAAAGTTTTATGTTTTCACCTCAGTTTTGACACATAAGAATACTACAGTAATGACTTTTTTCACTCAACAAAGAAAACAGTTTCTAAAAAGGAGGCTATTTCTCTCCCTTTTGTCATTGACCAGAAGATATGCCATCTTTTTACATTTTATTCCACAAGGAAGAAGGTTCATCATAATTGAAATGACCCTATTCTAGGACCATTCTAAAATGCACATATCCGCCTCAAAAAATCTCCGGAAACCTAGTCAATTCTCTTTCTCTGACCATCATGCCTTACATGGAGCTAATAATGAATGTCTGCTACTGATTGAGGGACTTTAAAAAAGATGACAGTTCAAGGGTGAACTAACTTGCTTTGTTAGGGCAAAACTAACTCCTTTTGTCATTTACTCATTCAACAAGTATTTATTAAGCAGCTATAAATTGCTTCAATCATTCAATATGTACACAAAATGTAAAAAATATAATAAATATTTCTACATTCCCCTTTTTTGAAAAATTCCTACCATGCACTTCACATACAGTTTTATGCATGCAAATGAACTTACCTCTCTTACAGATAGTTGTGGTGGGAAGGAGACTGAAAATACCAAGCTGGTGAATTCAAACCCAGAGGCCTCAACCTTTTGGCACACCTAAAAAAGTATTACAATTGTGTAAATTCCCAGGAATTGCCGAAAATATCACTTACTCTAATCTTCATAACATGAATTTCTGGTCCAGGAGCTGACATGGCAAAAATTCCAAACTTTCACATTTGACAATGGAACACTCACAAATATCTTGAGATTAAATATTGCCTAACTATGACCCTGAAGACTAATACCACAAGGAAACAAAACAGCCAGGAGTGACATCTGCAGAATAAACTATTAAGTGTCAAAATAGCTTTCTATTAGGTCACCTTCTAATTTTCAAACAAAATAAACCCAAACATAGCACTCTTGACAGAAGAAAACAAAAGGCAATCCCACATTCAATCACTTAACTTTTTTATTTTCTTTGAGACGGAGTCTAGCTCTGTCGCCCAGACTGGAGTGCAGTGGTGCGATCTCGGCTCACTGCAACCTCCACCTCCTGGGTTCAAGCAATTCTCCTGTCTCAGCCTCCTGAGTAGCTGGGATTACAGGTGCCTGCCACCACACCCAGCTAATTTTTGTATTTTTAGTAGAGACAGGGTTTCACTGTGTTGGCCAGGCTGGTCTTGAACTCCTAACATCATGATCCATCTGCCTTGGCCTCCCAAAGTGCTGGGATTACAAGCATGAGCCACTGTGCCCAATGAAATCATTTACGTTCTAAAAGGCTGTACTCTCCTGGACAATAATAAATATGATTAGAAATGAACTTTTCTGTCACTTAGCTATGTTAAACAGCAAAATGAAAACAAACTGCTATATTTTTCTTCAATTAAATAGCACTTATGACTGAAATACATGAATACCCATTTTATTAATTTCCAGATGTCAATTAAAAAGTAATTTGAAATAGTAGGCTTTTGCTTTAAAAAAAATTAAGAAAATATTTTAATGATCCAATTGTGTAAAACAAGTTGAATATGAACGGCAGTGTTCCTTTCAATATAAGAATTCTTGAAGCTAGGCATGGTGACCTGTGCCTGTAGTCCCAGCTACTTGGGAGGCTAAGGTGTGAGAATCACTTGAGCTCGGAGGTGGAGGTTGCAGTGAGCTGATTTTGTACCACTGCACTCCAGCCTGGGTGACAGAGCGAGATCCTGTCTCAAAAACAAAAACAAAAAACAGAAGGCCAGGAGCAGTGGCTCACACCTGTAATTCCAGCACTTTGGGAGGCCAAGTTGGGCAGATTACCTAAACTCAAGATTTCAAGACTAGCCTGGCCAACATGGTGAAACTCCGTCTCTACTAAAAATACAAAAATAAGCTGGGAGTAGTGGCATATTCCTGTAATCCCAGCTACTTAGGAGGCTGAGGCAGGTGAATCACTTGAACCTGGGAGGTGGAGGTTGCAGAGAGCTGAGATTGCACCATTGCACTCCAGCCTGGCTGACAAGAGCAAAACCCTGTCTCAAAAAAAAAAAAAGAGGAAAAAAAAGTTCTTGGCCTTAGCCAGATGCAGGGGCACACACCTATAATCCCAGCACTTTGGGAGGCCAAGGCAGGAGGATCACTTGAGGCCAGGAATTCAAGACCAGCACAGTAACATAAGGAGACCCTGCCTCTACAAAAAGATTAAAAAATTGGGTGTGCACGGTGGTACATTCCTGTAGCCTTAGCAACTCAGAAGGCTGATATAGGAGGATTGCTTGAGCCCAAGAGCTAGAGGCTGCAGTGAGCTGTGATTGGACCACAGCACTCCACCCTAGGCAATGGAATGGAACCCTACTCCCCACCCCCGGCCAAAAAAAGAACTGTCTTGTCTCCAAAAAAGAAAAGAAAGAATTCTTGGCAAAATCTCCATGTAATTGCACCTATAATGAAAAACAGGTTATTTACCTTTTTAACGAAATCTTTCTCACAGAATTCTTGAAGAATTCCTAGGCATATATTACATACATTTAAATTTGAGATCTTGGAAGCAATGCTTCCATCTTGACTGACAGAAATCCTTCCCTCTCCATTCTGACTTAGATTATCAACACTATCTTCCAGTTCTTGCAGTCGAATTTTCTTGGGAGGTGGGTTCATAACTTCCAAAATTAATTCATCTTTTTCAGTTTCCAGAAATTTCTGTAGTTCACTGAGCAACTCCTGAAAATTTAATAAAAGAAAAGGTAATGACCCACTGAGAATGCCCTTAAGGCTTTCTAGGTAAGATGAAACAAGAAAATACAAGTGAAAATTAGGAGATATCACAGATTTTACATTGACATATCAGCTCTGAAGCAATCCAGTTATTTTATTAGACAGCATTGGCTTTTATGGAATTTAAAGGAGAATTACCTATCTCTATTATATATACATGAATACGTTTCAAAAGAGTTCCATATATCAGGGAATATATTCCTAGGCATATATTACATACATTTAAATTTGAGATCTTGGAAGCAATGCTTCCATCTTGACTGACAGAAATCCTTCCCTCTCCATTCTGACTTAGATTATCAACACTATCTTCCAGTTCTTGCAGTCGAATTTTCTCGGGAAATTAATTCATCTTTTTTGGTTTCCAGCTTCCAACTTAAAAGTCATTAAAACTAAGGGAGAAAGGCTCCATAAACCAATTTATTAATTTGTAGTTCTGTTGTGAGTCATTCACTTGCTAATTTCAGTAAAAACAAACTTCAATTCTAGTGATTAACATATAAAAATACAAACTGAATCTCCATCTTTGCTAGGTTATTTAATAACCTCATAATGACTAAAAGCTCACAAGTATAATATTTATTTAATATAAAATCTGATCATTAGGGTAGTCTATTAAGTAAAAATAATTTGGAAACAATTTACTAAGAAAGGTACACAAATGCTGACAATGCTGAAAGTTAGCATATGTTTACAAACCATTTATATATATTAATAGAAAGATGTGCTCTACTATATTCTAGTTTGCCTAATTTCTGTCATTTCTTGTATTAGAATGTAAAAACTTGTATTTCTTTGAAACCATTCTCACATTTCTCTCATTCAGATATTCCTCTCATCTAAATACTCAGAGGATTTTCCTGTTTTGTTTAGACAGGTTTTGTTATCCCATTGTTGAATAAATTTCTTTTTAAAATTCATTCAGATGACAATTTACTGACTCTAAAGGGAAAAAAATCTTTCACTCAAGCAAATTTAAGTTTATTTTATTGAGAAATTAGCTCTCCTGCTTTAATAGAGAAATACAGACACATATATATACAGGTACATTTTGACTCACACAAATGTTTGTTGTTACCTAAGATCTATAATATCAGTATAACACAGTGTGTATACAGATGTGCATGTATATACATAGCTACATGAATAGAACAGGTCGAAATTTAAGAACATTTCAAAAAAACTGTCCTAATATTCTTATATATTTATTTACATAAAATGAAACAAACAAAAGTTGATAACAGTCTCTTAATATAAATTTAAAATCTAATAACAGAATAGGTTATAATGTGTCTGAAAAAAATGTGTAAGCAGGGTTACATAAAACCAGTCTTATTATTTTATAGTCATATTGCACATAAATGAGTATACACATATTTAAATCATCATAGCACAAGCACCATTTCTGGTTTTCTTTTTTTTTTTTTCTTTTGAGATGGAGTCTTACTGTTGCCCAGGCTCGAGTGGAGTGGCATGATCTTGGCTCACTGCAACCTCCGTCCCCTGGATTCAAGCGATTTTCCTGCCTCAGCCTCCTGAGTAGCTGAGATTACAGGCACCTGCCACCGCACTCGGCTAATTTTGTATTTTTAGTAGAGACAGGGTTTCACCATCTTGGCCAGGCTGGTCTTGAACTCCTGACCTCTGATCCACCCACCTCAGCCTCCCAAAGTGCTGGGATTACAGGCATGAGCTACTGCACCTGGCCGATTTCTGGTTTTCAAAGTGTTTCCACATACTTTATTAGGTACTGTCTTTTAAAGTCCTGTGAGGTGGGTATTATCATCATTCCCATTTACAGAGGAGTAAACTGAAGCTGGAAAGTGGTGGAACTGGGATTCAAATCCATGTCTTGTAGCTCCAAATCCTAGGTTTTGAATTCAGACAGACTGTTCAAATCCTAGCTGGCTCACTTAATAGCTGTGTAACTTTGGGCAGGTTGCTTAACCTCTCTGTATCTCAGTTTCTTCATCTGAAAATAGAGACAATCATAGTATGTACTTACCTAATCAGTTATTATGAGAATTATATGAGAGTTTGACATATAGTTATGATAATTGAATACAGCATATTATAGCATACTACTAACTCCTGGACAATTTTTTAAATTACAAGAAATTGTGTGTGTGTATGTGTTGTATGCGTGCTGTTTATAATGTATATATTTACATATGTATTATTACTATCTGCCTCTAAAAAGAATATGACTTCTAGAATCAAACATTTCAAGTTACATATCTTATGCAAAAAAGTATTATATTAAATGTCAAAGCTCTCTGTATATTACCATAAATGTCAAAGATCTCTGTATATTACTTTTGTCATTAATAGCAGTAACAATGACAATAAGCATTTATTTTTAGAGGGTTCCAAATATCTATTCATAAATACAAATGGAAATATAGAAAATAGGAAAAACAGAAAAAGGCAACCATACCCACAATACTTCCACTTAGTAGGACATGTAAGGAGGAAGCAATATTTTGTGATATTCTGTTCAGATATCTTTTAAACATCTATACAAATGTTAAATGCACCAGGGAGTTCCTCCACAAAGATCCCACTACACTAAATGTTAGACAGCTACATAGAATCACTTAAGAAGGAATTTAACATTTCTGAGATTCTTCCAAAATTATGATTACCACTTTATAGCTTTTTTAAAATAAAAAAAGATTTATGGATAGATACTTGCTCTCAAAAGTAAAGGCATTCATTGTAAAATATAGAGAAGCTTCCCTTAACTTGAAAAAAAAGAAAAGAAAATACCTTGTATGGAAGTTTGTAAGGTGCATGAAAATCCACACCACAGAATCTGAAGATACATCTTGGACAAGTACCAGTATTGAGCAACAACTGGGCCACACGCTTGCTTTCCTCGGTCAGTGGGAACATACTGAACAATTACAACTAGAAAGACAAAAGTAAAACTAATGAGCAGCTTCTGCATTTTACTGTCACAGACAAATAAGTCATAATGTTTAGGGATAAAGACTAGCTTTTATTTGAAAAACACTATTGTGTACTCTCTAACCAAGCCCCTTTCATTATATACATATTCTAAAATACAAACTTGAAGGAAGTTTATAAGATGGATCCAGTAGAGGTTTCTAATTGTCAAGGAATTTCATTTAGCATTCTGAATTATGATACATCAATATAACTAAGTTGAGCAAAAGACATAAAAATAATCAAGAATGGTTGCTTCTGAGGAGGATAATGAAAACAGAAGTACCGAGTGAAATTTTGCTTTTTCTTTTGTACTATTCATTATTGTACAAAGTTAATTCATTAAACTTTTCCTATCAGAAATTAAAAACGAGTTTGATGGTATTTGGGCTAAGAAACCCATACCCCAAAATGAAAGCCTCAGCAGCAGCCTCAGAAGCAAATGTTTTTCTCTAACCTTCTGCCCTCTTGTCTCTCAGTCCCATTCTCCCCCAGACTAGCCACAGAAAAAAACTACAGTCCCTCTTCCTCAAGGTGAGTCATAGAAACCAGAACCCCCTTTCCCTAAAGCCAGCCATAAAATCTAAAAATATTACTCAAATTTGGCTGAGTGTAGTGGCTCGCACCTGTAATCCCAGCACTTTGCGAGGCTGAAGTGGGTGGATCACCTGAGGTCAGGAGTTTGAGACCAGCCTGGCCAAGATGGTGAAATCCTGTCTCTACTAAAAATACAAAAAAATAAAAATTAGCCGGGCATGATGCTGGGCGCCTGTAATCCCAGCTACTTGGGAGGCTGAGGCAGGAGAATCACTTGAACCTGGGAGGTTCATATATATATATATATATATATATATATATATGTACACACACACACACACACACACACACACACAAACTCAAATTTTCCCTCCACTTTTCTGAGTAAAAAAAAAACTGACCATGAAAAATGAGGCAAGGTGCAGTGGCTCACACCTGTAGTCTCACCACTTTGTGGGGCCAAGGTGGAGGATCGTTTGAGGCCAGGAGTTTGAGACCAGCCTGGGCAACACCATGAGACCCTGTCTCTACAAAAAAATTGAAAAATTAGCTGGGCATGGTGGTGCCCGCCTGTAGTCACAGCTACTCAGAAGACTGAGGTGGGAGGATTGCTTGAGCCCAAGAGGTAGAGGTTGTAGTGAATCAAGATCATGCCACTGTACTCCAACCTGGGTGACAGTGCAAGACCCTGTCTCTAAAAAGCAAAGGAAAAAAAAAAAGAAGACGACGAATTATCTGACCTCTCTTTGACTGTAGGTCAAAAGACCCTCCATTCCACAACAGGTCCTGCCCTACACCTAGAAGGAAAGAATGCATGCTCTGAGAGGCCGAGAAGAACCTAGACAGACAGGCTTGCTGGGTTTCCCCATTCAGTTAATTATCCTTTTTTGTCCAATCATATTTCTACGTGCTGCCCATACTTTGACAAAACTAAACATAAAAATGGACAATTTCCTGTTTTCATGTCTTCATTCTGAAGGCTCCTGTATACACATTACATAAACGTGTATGCCTTTTCTCCCATTAATCAATTTGCCTGATGTCAGTGATTTTTGGTGGCTAGGGGCCTTGGCATTCAGACTAGACAAAAAAATCAGATCAGTCTTCATTATATAATATATAATACTTGACTACACTTAATGATAATTTAGTAGTCAACTATTTAAAACAAATTGAGGCCAGGCACAGTGGCCCACATCTGTAATCCCAGCACTTTGGGAGGACAAGGCAGAAGATCACTTAAGATCCGGAGTTCAAGACCAGCCTGGCCAACATGGAGAAACCCCATCTCTACTAAAAATACAAAAATTAGCCAGGTTTGGTGGTGGGCACCTGCACTCCAGCCTGGGTGTCGGAGCAAGATTCTGTCTCAAAACAACAATAACAACAAACAACGACAACTGATCAGCAGGTCCAAAAATATCAACTTTACTTTGATGATATGACTAAATGGCAACCCCCTGTTAACAAAATAAAAATCTGTCCCTTTTGGCTGGGCCCGGTGGCTCAAGCCTGTAATCCTAACACTTCGGGAGGCCGAGGCGGGTGGATCACGAGATCAAGAGATCATGGTGAAACCCCGTCTCTACTAAAAATACAAAAAAATTAGCTGGGCATGGTGGCGTGTGCCTGTAATCCCAGCTACTCAGGAGGCTGAGGCAGGAGAATTGCCTGAACCCAGGAGGCGGAGGTTGCAGTGAGCCGAGATTGCGCCATTGCACTCCAGCCTGGGTAACAAAAGCGAAACTCCCTCTCAAAAAAAAAAAAACTGTCCCTTTCATGAGTAAAATCTCCAACGAAAGGCTGGGCGCGGTGGCTCACATCTGTAATCCCAGCACTTTGGGAGGCTGAGGCAGGCAGATCACCTGAGGTCAGGAGTTCGAGACCAACCTGGCCAACAAGGTGAAACCCCATCTCCATTAAAAATACAAAAAATTAGCCAGGAGTGTTGGTGTGCACCTGTAATCCCAGCTACAGCTACTCAGGAGGCTGAGACAGGAGAACTGTTTGAAACCAGGAGGTGGAGGTTGTAGTGAGCCAAGATTGTACCACTGCACTCTAGCCTGGGCAACAAGAGTGAAACTCAGTCTTTCAAAAAAAAAAAAAAAAAAACCCTCCAACAAAAACAAATTAAGTACAAAATATTTGAGTGCAACTGTTTGCTTAATTAAGTAACCAATTTTTGCAATTTAAACAAACTGACAAAAAAATACTATATAGAGAATAAGGGCAAATCTGTCTCCTGTTACCAGGAAGGAGGTGTACTAAAAATTCCAACAACCTAATTTGTTTAGCAAAACTAGATCTTCTAATTAATGAAACAGTCCATATTGCCTTAAAATGATATTTAAAGCAGTATTTTAGAAAATAATCAATGCATGGCAATCTTTTTCTTTTTTTTTGAGATGAAGTCTTGCTCTTGTCATCCAGGCTGGAGTGCAGTGGTGTGATCTTGGCTCATTGCAACCTCCGCTTCCCAAGTTCAAGGGATTCTTCTGCCTCAGCCTTCTGAGTAGCTGGGATTACAGACACGTGCCACCATGTCCAGCTAATTTTTGTACTTTTAGTAGAGACAGGGTTTCACCATGTTGTCAGGCTGGTCTCCAACTCCTGACCTCGTGATCTACCTGCCTCAGCCTCCCAAAGTGCTGGGATTACAGGCATGAGCCACCACGCCCAGCCAAAATAATCAATGCATGGCAATCTTATGGCAGATATAACTCTGGTCATACAGATGAAAGACAGTGGCATCTTGTAATTTGTGCAGTTTCATAATTCAAATGAACTTTCTTAAAATTTGTGGAAGGCTAAAGCTCTCCCCAATCTCTTAGTGTGAAGATGTGATTCTTCCAGTCTGCATTTTCTAAACCTCTAAAACTTACTACTTGCTTGCAAGTTTCTAAATGTTTGGGGCCACTTACCAAGATCCTTGACAAAAAATAATGAGGAAGACAGGTACATAGTTCTACAGAACTCTTCACCATAAAAATCGGTTCAGCAGCCAGGATTATTAAAAACAGACTGCCTCTGGCTGAATTCTGATTCTGGTGAAAATGTGAGTCAGCAGGGAGAAGAAAATCAGGCTTGTATGGAAACACATCATATAAGCTGACAAGGTGACAACTTTGAGACACCGGAATTGAGAAACATGTATTTAGGGTTGCCTAAGTAAATTTGGGCTCCAAGATATTTTCAAGAAAAAAGACAGAATATGTGGAAACAGCCTCTAAATAATGAAGATCCGGCCAGGCGCAGTGGCTCACACCTGTAATCCCAGCATTTTGGGAGGCCAAGGCAGGTGCATCACCTGATGTCTGGAGTTCAAGACTAGCCTGGTCAACATGGTAAAATTCCATCTCTACTAAAACATAAAAATTAGCTACTCAGGAGGCTGAGGCAAGAGAATCACTTGAATCCAGGAGGCAGAGGCTGCAGTGAGCAGAGATCGCACCACTGCACTCCAGCCTGGGCGACACAGCAAGACTACATCTCAAAAAAAAAAAAAAAAAAAAAATCTGTGTGGTCAAGTCATTACTATTTACAAGTGATCTGAATCCCTTTTCCCAGCCCATTTAATCTAGTTTAATGCAGAGAAGAGATCAGATGCTGTGAGGGGCTGAATATAAGCATCTAAAGTGTATCCCTGACTACATACACTCTCCTCACAGAGAAACCGTTTCTGTTTCACCTGTTATTCTAAGTTATTTTTTCTCCATTAGTCAAGTTCAAGAATTTTACTTAATTCAGAAGTAATATTTAACTCAAAAAGAGACACAAACACACCCTCTTCAAATAAACAAATCAATAAGCACTTTAAAAGGACACTTAACGGAGATTTCCCTTGAGACTTAAATAGCTATATTAAAATTTATTTTATATTCTATTGCTGTAAAACAATGTTTATTTCCCCAATAAGTTCACAAGAACAAAGGTATCATACAAAGTGAATAAATGACATATTACAATATCCTGGGCCTGAGACGTTCCCAAACCTGATGAGAATTACTTCAGAACAAAAGTTCTGAGTAATTTGAAGAGGTCTAAAAATAGTCCTCAAATAAAAAGACCTTTTTTTGAATATGTATGTTAATAAACGAGCTACGAATTTACAAACCTCTCAACATTATTTTCCCCTAGCAACAATCTAGCAACTTCTCAAGAATATTAACATTAAAAGGAGAAAATACGTTACGCCTTAAATTTGGTTGTTTCATCTTGATGTAAGGAAATGTCACGATTGCTTAAGATATCAGAAATCGGTTGTCCACATTAGATTATGTTTGAAAGCAAGCCCTGAGAAAGGCACCCCACAATCTAAGTTTTCCAGTATTGGTTACCCTCAAGATGTTCGCTTTTCGTTTACATGTTTGTTTTACAGAAATAACTCTGTAGCAAGTTGCTACAAAGCCGCCTTTTCTCGTATCAGGCTCCATAGGAGGACTGAATCCCTCCTTCCCAAAACAAGGATAACTAGTCCAGTCTCTGTCTTACTAGAGGAGAGGACTTTATTTTCACCTCTTGGACGATTGCAAAACAAGTCATCGAAAACGAGGAAAGGAGTAGGGCATGAAAAAAACTACCGAAACGACCAAACAAATGACATCCTAAGATCTTTTAAAACTCATTTCCCTACCGAAAGGTGTCATTCGTACCGCAGCATGGGGCTGGGGGTGTAGATTTACGGGGAAAGAGGTGATCACACTTCACTGGACTTCTGAAACATTCAGCTATGGAAGCTACTGTGGACTCTCGAAAAGTTCATCTCGAGATCTAACCTCAAGCCTCAGTTTTAGCCAAGCTAGCCCTTCCCCCTTCGGTCAGGTCCAACAAACTTCCCACTCACCCAACCTTTGCTAACAAAGCCGTTCCAGCTGGAGGGAAACGACCTCTCTCTCGCCACACCTCTTCTGCACCCAGTCTGCACCCCTTCACCTCTTACCTACCCACCTCACCTTCTACCCAGATGCCGGAGCCTGAGATTTAACCCCTTCCGGCCCTCGAAGGGAACAGGGAAGACTAAAGACAACGCACCTATTTGCGTCTAGCAATTCTGTTCCCCGAGGAAACGTGGGCTTTAGAACGAAAGTACCAGGCTGCTCTCGCTATGACTAAGTGAACTTCTCCCTTCTTGTTTGTAGGGAAATCTGTCAAACTATGTAGTTTGCCACCTTCCCCCACTTCCCCCGCGCGTGTAGAAATGCGTGGAGCTTTACTCCCAACCTGACCGGTCCAGTCCCTGATAAGCTTCGGGGGGGTGGGTGGGGGGGCGCTCCGAGGTCTAGGGCGTTGTAGCTGCTGCCAGAAATATCGATGAGCCTTTACCCTCGGGTTTAGGACAGGAGCTCTTTCTAGGGCAAATACAAAGAACGTGTTTCTTCCTACAAATTAGTGGCATCCTTACGCCGTCTGGATTCAGCTGGTAAAGTAACTCAAGCCTTGTCCTTGACTGCAGGGGTGGGCGGGGTGGACGGCTCGGTGTTCTGCCCATTGTGCCTGGCGTTCAGGGTGCTGGTCTACGCAGGCCTGGACAGTCCTGGTGAGGAAAGGGAGCCGAGCGGAGGAGGAGGAGATGGCGTCCCAGCCGCCACCTCCCCCGAAACCTTGGGAGACCCGCCGAATTCCGGGGACCGGACCGGGACCAGGACCCGGCCCCACTTTCCAGTGAGTGTGCGATTCTTCAGGCTGTGAGTTTGGTGTGCCCGAGAGCGGACTTGTCAGGAGGCGGTTGAAGCGGTTGTTGGCGGAGGTGTTCCCTTCCCCTCTTCAGCCAGCGCCCCCATCCTTGTGGATAGGGGTCGAGGTGGAGCTGGGGCGCTTACCAGTGGGGATTTCAGTGTCTCACAGCTGTTTCTGACCCGGCGGCTTTTAGCAGCAACGGTTTTTCGGGAGCTTCTGGACGTCTCTCTGGGTCCCTGTGCTTGGAAGAAAGGGGGGCGGCTTCCTATTCCTTCTGTTTCCTAGACACTGACACAATGGCTTCACCCTCTTTAAAGCTTAGATTTTGGGTCTGTAGCAGTTGAGAGAGGCATTTGCCCAGACAAGGCATTGACAGGGAGCAAAGTTTCTTGTTAAAGGTGTTAACCTCTCGAGAAGTTGGTAAAAGCCCGAAAGGTTTTACGCAACTGGAACCCAAGCTGCGTACACTTTTCATTCTTTTCCAGCATAATTTAGCCAATGTTTCGGATCGAGATTGGATAAGCAACTTCAAAGCGGGAGATCTGAGGCCTATGGATGGCCTTTGTGTGCAAAATAGTGTATTTTTCTGAGGCCTGTAGTTTTCGTTTTGTTTTTAATCAGTATCCGTTGGTTTATAGGACTTTTAAAAGGCTAAAACAGAGTTGGGAGTGTTTCGTGGCCTCGTGTGGCTTTTGTTAGGTAGTGCTGGACATCTTAATTCAGATAGGTGTGCTTCAAATGTCAAATCACCTACTATTGTAGGTTTTTCTAATGCATAAAAACTCCAACATATTACTGGAATGTATTTCTGCTGTGTTCTGAAATCTTTTATTTAAACACTATAGCTTTAACACAGTAACTACTTAATTTGATAAGGACACATTACAAGTAATAAGTTTTAAACTCTGGTAAGTCACGATTACATTATCTGCTACTATTTTTATGAGTGGGTTTTTTTTTTTCCCGATTTAGACTGCTTGTCGGATGAGAAAGATTTTATTTTTTGCATGTTAAAGTCCTTCTTGTGTGAAATTAACCATTTTGCCACTTTTTTCATCATGAAGTATTTTAAACACAGAGACTAGTAGAGTAAGATAATACCTGTATATTCACTACCCAACTTCAAAAAATGTTAACACTTGCAGATTTATTTTTAAAAAGAAAAGTTAGACAGTTAAACTCTCCCATTCTTCTTTCCAGTGGTGACTGTTGTCCTTATTTGGTGTTTCAAATACTCAGTAATGTTTTTATACTTTAGTGCTTAGGTTTGTGCTAATTATATGCATTTTAAATTTAAAGCTTAAAAATGTAACAATAATATATATTGTATATATCGTAATTACATGTTACTGTTTATATATTATTTGTTAATATCTGTTTTTGTTTTTCCTGCTGCCCTTTTTTCTATTGGCTTTATCTTTGCCTATCAGTTTGTAAGAGTACTTTATTGTTGATACTAATCCTTTTTTTGTTAGTACATTTTGCTGATACTTTTCACTGTGTGGCTTGTCTTTATATTTATGTTCAATTTTTTATACAGATGTTTTTGATTTTAATATAGCCAAAATTTTCATATTTTATTGCCTGTGCTTTTTGTCTTGGTTAAGAAATCTGTCTACCTAGATCAGGACAGTTTTTCTGTATGTTTTAAATTTTCTGGTGTTCACATTCATATCTTTAATTCACGTGGAACTGCCTTTATATAAAAATCAGTTGGGAGGCCGAGGCGGGTGGATCACGAGATCAAGAGATCAAGACCATTCTGGTCAACATGGTAAAACCCCATCTCTACTAAAAATACAAAAAATTAGCTGGGCATGGTGGCGTGTGCCTGTAATCCCAGCTACTCAGGAGGCTGAGGCAGGAGAATTGCCTAAACCCAGGAGGCGGAGGTTGCGGTGAGCCGAGATCGCGCCATTGCACTCCAGCCTGGGTAACAAGAGCGAAACTCCGTCTCAAAAAAAAAAAAAAATCAGGCCAGGTGCAGTGGCTCACACCTGTAATCTCAAGAACTTTGGGAGGCCGTGGTGGGTGGATCACCTGCGGTCAGGAGTTCAAGACCAGCCTGGCCAACATGGTGAAACCCTGTCTCTAATAAAAATACAAAAATTAGCCAGGCGTAGTGGCGGTTGCCTAATTCTAGCTACTCAGGAGGTTGAGGCAGAATGACTTGAGTCTGGGAGGTGGAGGTTGCAGTGAGCCGAGACTGTTCCACTACACTCCAGCCTGGGCAACAGAGCAGGACTCTGTACCAAAAAAAAAAATCAGTATGAAATAGGGAATCTAATTTTTTTTTCCCATATAGGTAACTAATTATCCCAGCATCATTTATTGAGTAGTCTGTTCCTAGTTTATAATGCCATCTATGTCATATCAGGTTTTCCTAAATACGTGGTTTTGTTTTGAGCACTTTCTGTTTACTAGCATCACACTATCTTAATTACAGAATTTTTTAAGTCTTAATTTTTGGATGTCAATAGTTTCCACACATTGCTGTTCTTTGTAATTGCCCTTGTTGCCGTTAGACCTTTTTAAAAAGTCTTACTGGGATTTTTATTGGAACTGAGCTGAATTTGTGGATCAAGTAAGTTTTTTATTCCATGAATATTGTAAAAGCTACAATTGGTGAGAATTTTGATTATCTTAAATATCGCCATGAAGTTTTTTTTCTCATATTTTATTTTTTATTCCTAGATTATTTTTGCTGTGGTAGTTGCAAATGGGCTTTCTTTTTTCCTTTTACATTTTCCAGTTGGTTATTAACTGGTATGGCAGAATGCTAATGATTTTTTTCTAATATAAATGTTAAGTACAGCATAATGTCAAACTCTTAATTAGTTCTGATGCTTTGGTTGAAATTCTCTTTAGTTCTATGTAGACAGTTCTGTCATTTACAGATAAGCTAGCATTCTTATATTGGTCCTGACTTCCACTGGAATGCTTCTGAATTTTTTTACTGTTAAGTGTGAAGTTGCTTTTTGTTTTTGATAGATATCCTGTCAAAATTCTATCTCGCTACCTTGCTCAGATTTTTAAAATTTTCTTTTTTGTTGTTACTTTATTATTATTTTTTGAGACGGAGTCTCACTGTGTCTCCCAGGCTGGAATGCAGTGGCATGATCTCGGCTCACTGCAACCTCTAACTCCTGGGTTCAAGTGATTTTCCTGCCTCAGCCTACTGGATAGGTCAGGTGATTGGCCCACCTCAGCCTCCCAAAGTGCTGAGATTACAGGTGTGAACCACCATGCCCGGCCCTACCTTGCTCAGATTTTTATCATGAAGAAGTATTAAATTTTATGAATGGCTTTTCTGCAGCTGTTGAGACCATTGTATATGTTTTGCTTTAATATGAAAATGTGGTTTATTGTATCAATTAACTTTCTAGTGTTGAACCACCCTTGCATTTCTCAGTGAACTCTGGTTAGTCGTGATTTTTTTTTCTGATATGCAATTTCAAATTATATTCTAGGCCAGGTGGTGTGGCTCACATCTGTAATCCCAGCACTTTGGAAGGCCAGGACAGGAGGATTGCTTGAGGCTGGAAGTTTGAGATCAGCCTGAGCAACACAGCAAGACCCTGTCTCTATAAAAATTTTTAAAATTGGCCAGGTGTAATGGTGTGTGCCTGTAGTCTTAGCTACTAGGGAGGCTGAGGTGGGAGGATCCCTTGAGTCCAGGAGTTCATCATACCTCTGCACTCTAGCCTGGGTGACATAGCAAGACCCTGTCTCCAAAAAGAAAAAGAATTCTATTCCAATATTGTAAGTCTTTTGTATACATGTTCCTAGATGAAACTGAAATTTTCTTTCTTTGTACTATTATGGTTTTGTATCAAAGTTTTATAGCCAGATAAATTTTTGTGTTGAGCCTGACTTATTTTTTTAAGATAATGTCTCACTGTGCCACCCAGGCTGGAGTGCAGTGGTGTAATCACGGCTCACTGCAGCTTCTATGACCTAGGCTTAAGTGATTCTCCTGCCTTAGCCTCCTGAGTAGCTGGGATTATAGGTGCATGCCACCATGCCCAACTAATTTTTATATTTTTAGTTGAAATGGGGTTTTGCCGTGTTGCCCAGGCTGGTGTTGAACTCCTGGGCTCAAGCAATCCGCTCACCTCAGCCTCCCAGGTGACTCCCAGGTGTAAGCCACCTCACCTGACCTAACTGATTTCTTTATAGGCAGACTGCCTTCTCCTTAGTAGACTTTTAGATTTTATCTGATATCTTTGGTCCTCTAGCTTTAGTATATTGTATCTAGGTATGAATTATACAGACACACACATACATATTATATTTGTTTCTTTTTGCTCAGTACCCACAGTATTCAGTCTGAGGATTCATGTCTTTTTTTTATTTCAGGAAAATTCTCACCAATTATACCTTTATTTTTTTACTTTTATTTTTTTTTTGAGACAGAGTTTCGCTCTTGTTACCCAGGCTGGGGTGCAATGGTGCGATCTCGGCTCACCGCAGCCTCCGCCTCCTGGGTTCAGGCAATTATCCTGCCTCAGCCTCCTGAGTAGCTGGGATTACAGGCACGTGCCACCGTGCCCAGCTAATTTTTTGTATTTTTAGTAGAGACGGGGTTTCACCATGTTGACCAGGATGGTCTCGATCTGTTGACCTCATGATCCACCTGCCTCGGTCTTCCAGAGTGCTGGGATTACAGGCTTGAGCCACCTAATACTATTTTGAAGTTTTGTTTGAAGACTAGTCTTTCCTCTCTTCTTCTGTTAAGCATTATATCAGGAATAGTATATGCTGTAAGTAACAATATCTGACCTACTATGCTTTGGACTACAAAGACATTTATTGTTTAGTTAGCAAGAAGTCTAGAGATCTGCTGTCTCGACATTGTCATCAAGGGACCTAAATTTTTCCTGGCTCTTTTTTTGTCAACGCTCTGACTTGTGGACCATCTCTGTCTTTTGTTTGTTTGTTTTGAGGTAAGTCTTTGTATTATCTGAAGTTTCTCTTTTTTTTAATATGTAATTTTGTTATATAAGCCTTATTATTATTATTGTTATCAGGACAGAGTCTTGCTCTATTGCTTAGGCTGGAGTGCAGTGGTAAAATCTCAGCTCACTACAACCTCTGCCTCCCTGGTCGAGTGATCCTTGCCCCTCAGTCATGTGAGTAGCTGGGATTACAGGCATGCACCACTACACCTGACTAATTTTTGTATTTTTAGTAGAGATAGAGTTTTGTCATGCTGGCCAGGCTGGTCTCAAACTCTTGGCTTCAAGTGATCCACCTGCCTTGGCCTCCCAGAGTGCTTACGGGAATGATTACAGGAGTGAGCCACCATGCCCAGCCAAGCCCATTTAATTTTTAATGAGAGCTGGACATTGTATATGTATATGGCAGTTTAATGTGATCTGAGGCTTAAAGATATCTTTCTCTAACGACTTTTCCTTTTGACCAGAATGTTAGGCCACTAACAATCTAGAATCACTTTAATCCAATGAAGAAATGAGCTGATTTAAAACTTGGTTTTCATTCCTGCCAGAGTTAGTCTATTTCCTGTTAACCCTTTCACCCTTTCTAATAGCATAGATCCCTTTTTAGGTTTATATGGTCCCAATCTGAAGTGTGAGGGTTCCCTATGCCCTTCGTCTTTAGTGTTCTGAACTCCAATTTATGTCTCCTTAGCCCAGGGAGTCTGTTAAGATCTCTGCCCAGCTTCTCATCCTGTCAACCATCTCTTCTGGAATTGGCCTTAGTTTCTAGAGAAACATCTCAAAATATCTGGGGTTTTTTTTCCTCCTGGATTTTGACTCCAGAATTCCTCAGTGCCTTGTTCTCTAATGCTTTAAACAGAAATTTTTCCTATTTCCTACCTTTCTAGTTTTCAGTGGGAGGGTTAATCTAATTACCTCAACAACCATTACTTAAAGTAGAATTCCCAAGTGATTGGCCCACATTAAAACTAACTTTGTATTTAGTTGTATTTATACAGCCAACTAACTATTGGCCCTCTAACTTTCAACATTAGAAAGTTAATTGATACAATAAACCACATTTTCATATTAAAGCAAAAACACATACAATGGTCTCAACAGCTGCAATCATTACTTAAAGTAGAATTCCCAAGTTCTGTATTCCCAAGTTCTGCTTCTTAGTGTACAGCAGCTAATTTTCTTCTTGACAGATAGTTGAAAGCAATTCCTGTAGCTGTGGCCACCTTTCTTTACTTTCCTTTTCCCTTTCCCATTCCTTTCCCTTTCCTTTCCTTTTGACACCCAGACTGGAGTGCAGTGGCGCCATCTTGGCTCACTGCAACCTTTGCCTCCTGGGTTCAAGCAATTTTGTACCTCAGTCTCCCAAGTAGCTGGGATTGCAGGTGCCCACCACCACACGTGGGTGATTTGTTTATTTTTAGTAGAGATGGGGTTTCACCATCTTGGCCAGACTGGTCTTGAACTCCGGACCTTGTGATCTACCCACCTCAGCCTCCCAAAGTGCTGGGATTACAGTACCGGCGTGAGCCACCTCACCTGGCCTGTGGCCATCTTTTCTAAGATTTCTAATGGATTTTAAAAAAATATTTAAGTGTTTTTATTTCATTTCAATTTTTATTTCACAGATACTGTTTGATTTCTCTCTGATAATTTTTAACATATCCAAAATCATTCCTGAGCTGTTAAATAAAACCGTTTTTTTCATTGGGTTTTATTCTTGTTTTTTTTGTTGGCTTTGTTTCTTAGTGTTTTTATTTCTTCATGTGTGGGGCATTTTTGACATGGTCATTTTGAGTAGTAATTTTAGAGTTCTATTTTCTCTCCTTTCCCTCTTCCATGTTCCCCTCTCCATCTAATAGATTTCCTGTTGCCTCTACCTGTTCTTTCTACCTACCACTTAGGGAAGAATCAGGTATAAAAACAGTGGGCTCCTGTAATCCCAGCACTTTGGGAGGCCAAGGTGGGTGGATCACGAGGTCAAGAGATCGAGACCATCCTGGTCAACATGGTCAAACCCCGTCTCTACTAAGAATACAAAAAATTAGCTGGGCACGGTGGCTTGTGCCTGTAATCCCAGCTACTCGGGAGGCTGAGGCAGGAGAATTGCCTGAACCCAGGAGGCGGAGGTTGCGGTGAGTCGAGATCGCGCCATTGTACTCCAGCTTGGATAACAAGAGCAAAACTCCGCCTTAAAAAAACAAAAAACAAACAAAAAAAAAACAACAGTGGGCTAGCCTGGGCATCGTGGCTCACACCTGCAATCTTAGCTCTTTGGGCGGACCAGGCAGGAGAATTGCTTGAGCCCAGTAGTTGGAGACCAGCCTTTCAAGATGTAGTGAGAACCCCATCTCTACAAAAAAAAGAGGCGGGGGGGAGCCAGGAATGGTGGCACGTGCCTGTAGTCCCCGCTCTTGGGAAGCTGAGGTAAGAGGGATCACTTGGGCTATTGCCTGCCTGAGTCACGTGCCGGGTGTGGTGGTGGGGGGAAGCTGGAAGGCGTAGTTCTCCTTTCCCAGCCCCGCTGCCCGTCCGCCATGTTTTCAGGCCGAGTCTGGCTTGGTGTTCCCTCGTAAGGAAATGGCCGGGGAGCTCCAGGGGACCCAGGCGCCGTCACTTCGGCGGAGCCTGGGCTGACCAGCCCGGACAGCGGGGTAAACCTGATCTGCGCGAGGTGTTTGTACTGCTATTTATTTTTGTGAAGAGGCAAATCATGAACTTTGCAATGAAATCTCAAAGGGGACCTCATGTCCCTGTGGGGGACAGTGCCCCCAAGGATGGGGTTGAGATAATCAGTAAGGCAGAGAGCAATGAGAAGAGTTACCTTTACATGACTTTAGACTTACAAGAGTCCCACAAATCATCTAATTCCACCATTCATGTTACCAACAAGTCCAAGAAAAGGAAGCAGTTTACCAGAAGACATAGAGGTTGCTACAACCATTTTTGTAGGATGAAAGCTCTGCATGCCATTGGTGCCTCTGAGATCCCATTTCATTCTGAAGGCAGGCATCCCTGTTCCTTAATGGGCAAGAATTTCCGCTCCTACCTGCTAGATCTGCGAAACACTAGTACCCCTTTCGAGGGTGTACGCAAAGCCCTCATTGATACCCTGTTGTATGGCTATGAAACAGCCCTCTGTGGGACAGGGGGTCAAAGCACGAATTGGGAGCTCTCAGCGACAACACCAGTCAGCAGCCAAAGACCTAACTCAGTCCCCCGAAGTCTCCCCAACAACCATCCAAGTGACATACCTCCCCTTCAGTCAGAAGAGTAAACGTGCCAAGCACTTCCTTGAATTGAAGAGCTTTAAGGACAACTATAACACATTGGAGAGTACTCTGTGATGGAGCTGAAGGACCTTTGCCGTAGGTTAAGCCAGTCAGTTGCAATGTGCAAGACAGACTGCTTGCCAGGCTGCCCTCGGGACATCTGACTCAGCAGCCCCAGACTGTATCCATTGAAGTTCCTGTTGTATCCAGAGTTCTTAGAACTTCTGCCGGAAGGGTAATTCCCTAACCCTTCCTTATGGGCATTTTTAGAAGATTGGCTAAGACTATTTTGCCCCAATAGCACTTTTTTCTGCATTTACATTCAGGTGTTATTCTTTTTTTTTGAGACGGAGTTTTGCTGTTGTTACCCAGACTGGAGTGCAGTGGCACGATCTCGGCTCACCGCAACCTCTGCCTCCTAGGTTCAAGCAATTCTCCTGCCTCAGCCTCCCAAGTAGCTGGGACTACAGGCTGCGCCACCATGCCCAGCTAAGTTTTGTATTTTTTGAAGAGCTGGGGTTTCACCTTGTTGACCAGGATGGTCTTGATCTCTTGACCTCGTGATCCACCCGCCTCAGCCTCCCGAAGTGCTGGGATTATAGGCGTGAGCCACCGTGCCCTGCCTTCAGGTGTTATTCTTAATGTTTCTGTCAAAGCTTCTTAAAAATCTTCACTTGGTTTCAGCAATAGTTCACCTGCCTTGTTCCAGGTTTATTTAATTCCAAAGGTGAGAGTTGGAGTGAGATGTCTTCCATATCTATACCTTTGTGTACAGTTGAATGGAAACTGTTTGGGTTTAGGGCATCTCAGAGTTGATTGATGGAAAAGACAGACAGTAACTGGTGGGAGGGTCAAGTGGGGAGGTTGGTGGTGTGTGGAACGACTTACCCTTGTGCTCCACTTAAACCAGATGTGTTACAGCTTTCCTGACATGCAAGGATCTATCTACTTTCATTCCACACTCACGAATAAATTGAATCAAAGGGAATGTTCTGGCACCTGACATAATTTGCCAGGCTATAAGACAATAGGAAGGAATGATTTCCCCTAACAAGCCAATGCACTGGTCTGACTTTATAAATTATTTAATAAAATGAACTATTATAAAATTAAATTAAATTTAAAAAAGAGGGATCACTTGAGCCTAGGAATTTGAGGTTGCAGTGAGCCGTGATTGCACCACTGAACTCTGGCCTGGGTAACAGAATGAGACCTGTCTCAAAACAAAAAGCAAACGAAGATAATACTGCAAAAACAGTGAGTTAGATTAAGGATATCACAGATCAACTCAGTTAGTAGTTGTTTCATTTCCTGGGCTGGAAGCCTTACCACAGTCCTCTCACTTTCTTAGTTCTGTAACTTTCTCAAAATACTCAACTGTCATCAGCAAATTTTATAATCTCTTTGTAGGAGCCAAGGTGGCACATCCTCACTCCCAGCCTCAAGCAAGGAACTGGTTCCACTTTAAAGGAGCACTTTTCGTTTTTGTTACTTCATAGAAGACTGCATCTTGGCTGTCACTGCCTGATTACAGAACCAGAATTGAGTATGCCTGTAGCTTCAGCCCTCCTTAACATGTTACATTTCTGTTTAGTTTCTGTTCCATAAGTCTGTCTTGTGTTAAATCTAGATAATGCCTGTTTGTTTTTCTCTCTGTTTTCTCTGTTATTGTTTCGACTTTGGAGCAGAACTGCTTCATCAAAGCCTAAATGCACTGTACTATCTGACCGTTCACTGGCTCTTTTAAGTTTTGTTTTATTTTTAAACATTAGATCCAGTAAAAGAAAAAAAAAGTAGAGTTCTAGTAACTTGTTTACAATATTATAATACAAATCTAAATTAAAACTTTATTCTAGATTAGAACATTACCATTTTGCAGTTCCACATCTAATATTTGTTTCAGGCAAGGATGATGAAGGGATGCTAAACTATCAAATGAACAATTGCTGGGGAATAGAATATTTGTGTGGTACCAAAATGTCATCCCATAGATTATATACTAATTTCAAAGGGATCTAAGAGTCACCTCCTTAACCAACTAATCAAACTTAGCTTCACAAATAAGGAGGCAATAATATACCATTATGTACCTCCTGAAGTAATACTGTGTGAAGTAAACAACATCACTTATGAATTATTCTTGCCAAAAAATATTGAACCTGATTCTAATCAGTCTGTTAAATGCAATCTTAATAGGAAGTCAGATAAGAGTACCTTAATACTTTGGAGAAACACAAATCTGTGGTGGGAGGTTGTTTTTTGTTGTTTTTTTTTTAAGATGGAGTTTCACTCTCTGACGCCTAGGCTGGAGTGCAGCAGAGTGATCTCGGCTCACTGCAACCTCTGCTTCCCAAGTTTAAGTGATTCTGCTGCCTCAGCCTCACGAGTAGCTGGGACTACAGGCGCCTGCCACCACGTCCGGCTAATTTTTATATTTTTAGTAGAGATAAGGTTTCACCATGTTAGCCAAGCTGGTCTCCCGACTCCTAACTTCAGGTGATCCGCCTGCCTCGGCCTCCCATAGTGCTAGGATTACAGGCATGAGCCACTTCACCTGGCCTGGGGGTAGGACATTTCTAGAAAAAAACTGGGTTTGACTCTTCAGAAGTACAGGGATATTTGAAAAAAATGGGATTGTTCTAGTTTAGAAGAGAAAGGAAACAAAACAACCAAATGCACTGTGTGAGCCTTAACTGAAATTTTGTCCAAAAAGTTTTAAAAGACATTTGGGCTCATATAGCACAATAATTTAAAAAGCAGTGATAAAAAGTCTAAGCCAAGTGCAGTGGCTCACGCCTGTAATCCTAGCACTTTGAGAGGCAGAAGTGGAAGGATTGCTTTGAACCCAGGTCTTCGAGACCAGCCTGGGCAACAAAGAGGGACCCTATCTCTACCAAAAAGTTAGGTGAGGGTGGTGGTCCCAGCTAAATAGGAAGTTGAGGCAGGAGGATCACTTGAGCCCCAGAGGTCAAGGCTGCAGTGAGCCATGTTTCCCAGAGACCCTCTTTCTAAAAAAAAAAAGGGTGAGCTTAAAAATGGGCAAAGTATCTAGATAGATATTTCTCCAAATAAGATTGTAAAATGACCAATAGGCCAGGCATGGTGGCTTACACCTGTAATCCCAGCACTTTGCGGGGCTGAGGTGGGTGGATCGCAAGGTTGAGAGTTCAAGACCATCCTGGCCAACATGATGAAACCCCATCTCTACTAAAAATACAAAAATTATCCAGGTGTGTTGGCACACGCCTGTAATCCCAGCTACTCAGAAGGCTTTCAGGAGAATCACTTGAACCCAGGTGGCGGAGGTTACAGTGAGCTGAGATCATACCATTGCACTCCAGCCTAGGCAATGGAGCAAAACTCCATCTCAAAAAATATAAAAATAAAATGACCAATAAGCACATGAAGATATGCTCAACATTGTTAGCCATCAAGAAATGCAAATTAAAACCATAGTGAGATACCACTTCACACCCACTAGGATAGCTATAAGGAAAAAGATAAGAGCAGATGTTGCCAAGGATGTGGAGAAATTGGAAACCCTCATACACTGGCGAGAATGTAAAATGGTACATTATGCTTTGGAACACAATCTGGCAGTTCCTCAGAAGGCTAAATGTAGAGTTTCCGTATAAGCCAGCAAACATGTCCATACAAAAACTTGTATATAAATGGCCATTGCAGCATTATTTGTAATAGCTGAGAAGTAAAAGCAGCCCCAATATACATCAACCGATGTATATTATAAATAATATAGATATATTTTGGCAATAAAAATAATACAAATATAATTTGGCAATTAAAATGAATGAAATAGAGTTGGCCTTCCACATCCGTGGATTCAGCCAACTGTGGATCAAAAATATTCAGAAAATAGGCCCGATGTGGTGGCTAACACCTGTACTCCTGGCATTTTGGGAGGCCAAGGTGGGAGGATCACTTGAGGTAAGGAGTTGGAGGCTGTAGTGAGCTATGAATCATGCCACGACACTCTAGCCTGGGCAACAGAGTGAGACCCTCTTAAAAAATAAAAAAGAATTCAGGAAAAATAAATTTTATCTGTACTGAACATGTAAAGACTTTTCCTTGTCATTATTTCCTAAACACTACAGTGTAACTAATTACATAACATTTACACTGTATTAGATACTATTAAGTAATCTAGAGATGATGTTAAGTATACAGGAGGATGTGCATAGGTTATATGCAAATACTATGCAGTTTTATATTAGGGACTTGAACATTCATGGATTTTGGTATTTAAAGGTTTTGAAACCACTTCCCCACAGATACAAAAGGATGCCTGTACTGATAACATGCTATAAAATGGATAAACCTTGGAAACATTATGCTAAGTGAAAGAAGCCAGTCACAAAATACCACACATTGTATGTGTCCATTTGCCATAGATCCTCATTATTTGTGGATTCTATATTTTCAAATTGGTCTGCTCACTAAAATTTATTTGTAATCTCAAAATCAACATTCCTGGCACTTTCACAGTCATTTGAGTACAAACATAGATCAGGGGAAAATCTGAGTTGTCCCTTAGCTGACATAACCGAGAGATAAAAAAGCAACACTCTGGTTTCTTTTTCAGCTGTTATGCTGTAAACAGTTGTCCTTTTGAAAGTCTGTTTAGTGCCAGATTTTTTCATATTTTTTAATGGTGATTTTGCTGTCTAAAATGGTGCCCAAGCATAGTGCTGAAGTGCTCTCTTGTGTTCCTAAACAGAAAAAGTCTGTGGTGTGCCTTACAGAGAGTACAGGTGTTAGATAATTTCATTCAGGCATGAGCTATTGTGTTGTTGGCTATGAATTCGTTATGAGTTAACAATATACCTGGAATAAAGTGACTTTAAACAGAAACACATGTAAGTATATGTATTGATTGGTTGATGAAAGGAGCAGTGACTTGGTATTTGCTGGTTCAGAGTTCACAGCAACTTTACAGAATATAACTGTCTTAAATAACAAGCATTAACTATATATGAAATGTCCAGAATAGACAAATCTAGTGACAGAAAATAAATTGATGGTTGCCAAAGATTGGGGAAGGGGTGGGCAGGAAATGGGGAGTAGCTGCTAATGAATATGGGGATTCTTTTTTGAGGTGATGAAAATATTCTGAATTAGACATGGTGATAGTTACACACTTCTGTGAGTATACTGAAAACTATTAAACTTTAGGCCGGGCATGGTGGCTCACGCCTGTAATCCAAGCGCTTTGAAGACCAAGGCGGGCGGATCACCCGAGGTTGCGGGTTTGAGACCGGCCCGACCAACATGGTGAAACGCTGTCTTTAAATAAATTTTAAACATTAAAATGATGGCTAGGTGCAGTGGCTCACTCCTGTAATCCCAGCACTTTGGGAAACCAAGGTGGGTGGATTGTTTGAGCCCAGAAGTTTGAGACCAGCCTGGGCAACATGACAAAACCCCATCTCTATAAAAAATTTTAAAAAGTAGCCAGGTTTGATGGCATTCACCTTTAGTGCCAGCTGCTTTGGAGGCTGAGGTGGGAGGATCACTTGAGCCTAGGAGGTTGAGGCTACAGTGAGCTTTGATTGTGCTACTGTGTTACAGCCTGGGCAACAGAGTGAGACTCTGTCTCTAGATCAGTAGAATTTGTCACAGCACTAGGTATATAGGAGGTGTTTTATAGTTACTTTGAATTGAATTTATTGTACGCTTAAATAACTGTTTTGAATCTTCTTTGGTTTTAGATCTGCTGATTTGGGTCCTACTTTAATGACAAGACCAGGACAACCAGCACTTACCAGAGTGCCCCCACCTGTTCTTCCAAGGCCATCACAGCAGACAGGAAGTAGCAGTGTGAACACCTTCAGACCTGCTTACAGTTCATTTTCTTCTGGATATGGTGCCTATGGAAATTCATTTTATGGAAGCTATAGCCCTTATAGTTATGGATATAATGGGCTGGGCTACAACCGCCTCCGTGTAGATGATCTTCCACCCAGTAGATTTGTTCAGCAAGCTGAAGAAAGCAGCAGGGGTGCATTTCAGTCCATTGAAAGTATTGTGCATGCTTTTGCCTCTGTCAGTATGATGATGGATGCTACCTTTTCAGCTGTCTATAACAGTTTCAGGGCTGTATTGGATGTAGCAAATCACTTTTCCCGATTGAAAATACACTTTACAAAAGTGTTTTCAGCTTTTGCATTAGTTAGGACTATACGGTATCTTTACAGACGGTTACAGTGGATGTTAGGTTTAAGAAGAAGCTCTGAGAATGAGGACCTCTGGGCAGAAAGTGAAGGAACTGTGGCATACCTTGGTGCTGAGGACCAAGCAGCTAACTCAGCAAAATCTTGGCCAATATTCTTGTTCTTTGCCGTTACTCTTGGTGGTCCTTACCTCATTTGGAAATTGTTGTCAACTCACAGTGACGAAGTAACAGGTAAGGGAACACGTTCAGATACTATATAACAATCTCAAATTTCAAGAACAGATTTGTTAAATTAGTTTTCTTTATATTCATTTGTATTTACTGTTTTGGTCCAGTTATATTTTCAGTTAAGAGCTTCAAAACTGGCAGAGAAATATATAGCAAAAATAGGTTTGCTGATTAGTTTATTGTTCAGTTAAACAGTACATATTACCTTACTGTTTACAAGTTACTGAACTTGGTGCTGTAGAGGATACAAAGCTTCATAGAGCATAATTCCTGTCTTTCTAAAATGTGTTGGAAGGGAGGTGGTGTAAGACACAAATACTTCATTAATTGTAATGAAGCAGAAAGTGTGATAAGAAATACGACAGTTGGGGAGAGATGTAAGGTTTCTTGAAACCTTTTTTAATATGTGAGACACTGCGCACGGTATTTTGTGTGTTGTATCTCAATTATTTCAACAACCCAAAGAGATAGAAATTATCCTTATTTTACAAGTGATAAAACTGAGATTCAGAGACTCGCTTATCCAGGGTCACATATTTAATAAGGCAGAACTATAAACAAAACCAGGTCTGCTTCAATGTTAAGCTGTATTCTCTCAACTGGTACAGAGTATTAGCTCACTTTAGAAGAGGGAAGCTATCATTTTTGACTGTGGTATCCAGGAAGAAATGGCATCTAAGTTACATTTTTGAAAGCTAGGCAACCTTTCATCAGTTAAATAAAGAAACGAAAACTATCAAGCTGATAGACCAGCTTGAACAAAAGTACATAGGCAGAAAATAAGAGATTTGTTTGGCAGTTGTCCTATATAGTATTAAGAAATAATATGAGAAATTAGGTTGAAAGCTAATAGTAGAAGCTCTTAATTGCCATTATGAAACAATCTTTACATAAGGAATGGATGGTTTTTTTAGCAGTTTATGTTTGTTTTTAAGTAGACTGTGTCGTACGTGTAAACAGTAAAGAAGTCAGTCTGAAGTGTTTAAGATATGTCAGTAAAAGTCAAAACAGGGGCCAGGTGTGGTGCTTAATCCCAGCACTTTGGGAGGCTGAGGCAGGCAGATCACGAGGTCAGGAGTTCAAGACCAGACGGGCCACCATGGTGAAACCCCATCTCTACTAAAAAATACAAAAATTAGTTTGGCATGGTGGCTCGTGCCTGTAATCCCAGCTACGGGAGAGTCTGAGGTAGGAGAATTGCTTGAACTGGGACCCAGGAGGCGGAGGTTGCAGTGAGCTGAGATTGCAACACTGCACTTCAGCCTGGGCTACGGAGCAAAACTCCATCTCAAAAAAAAAAAAAGTCAAAAGAGGTTGTAATTCATAAAGGATTTAGGTTATGTTCACCTTTGTATTCCTACTATCTAAGCTGCTTGGCAAATAGAAGGTACTTAATAGGTATTTTTTAATTTGGGGGTATCAGTTATGATACTTTTACCTTAGACTATTTGAAAGATAATGAAGACCCAAACTAGAGTGTGTGAGAAGCAGGATTGATATAATAGATTTAGTGGATGTAGTCACTGACTAAATGAGGTATATAAAGGCAAAGTAGAAATCAAAATACCCTAGACCTTTAAATTTGGGTTATTAGAGGGATAACATTTTATTCGTTAACTCAATAAATATTTGTTGGGCGCCAACTACATACCAAAGAGTTCTCAGAGCTAGGGATATAGCAATGAATAAAATGTATTTTAAAAATATCTGCCTTTGTGACAATCTAATAAGGGAGAAACAGTAAGAAAATAAATAAAATATATAGTAAGCCTGAAGGTGCTAAGTGCTACAGGGGAAAAAACAAAACAGGGAAGAATATTGGGAGTGTCAGGAGTAGGAACAGGGGTTGAACTGCACATACAGTCAGGGAATGCCTCCCTGAAGCAGTTGAGGGAATAAGCCCTACAGCTCTTTAAAGGAAGAGTGTTTTGAGGCATAGGGAACAGCAAAAGTACAGAGGTATTTAAGTGGCATGTCATGGGAACAGGAAGGAGGCCAGTGTGGTTGGAGCAAAGTGTTAGTGGCAGGAGATGAAGGCAGTAGATGGTATAAGTAATCCCAACACTGGGAGGCTGAGGCCTGCAGATCACTTGAGCCTGACAAATCATGCAAGCTAGTTTGGCCCTCTTTCTCACATGCACTCTCTTGCCATGTGATATGCCTTCTGCCATGTTATGACACAGCAAGAAGGCCCTTACCAAATGCAGAACCCTTGATCTAGGATTTTCTGACCTCTAGAACTGTGAGCAAATAAACTTTTATTGTTTACAAATTACCCAGTCTGTAGTGTTCTGTTAAATCAGCATAAAACAAAGACAGTACTGCTCAGTTGTTTATTTGAGAAGTCAATAATGAATTGGAAATGAATGAAGAATTAGCCTCTGTGAATAGTCTACGTGGTTCAACTACAGACAAGAATTTTTCCAAAGAAGGTGAAAACACTGATCCTATACAACCTGAATCTGCTAAGATATGTTGCAGCTGATGATGGTCAGAAATAAAGGTGGAGGAGGAAAAGGCCTAGTTGGACAAAATTTACAAAGCTTTTGAAAATAGTTTTTTGTCTATGGTTATTCATTGTGTTATTCATCAGCAGGTATATCGCAGAAAATATTTGGATTAATCATGTTATTGAACTAGTAGTGTCAAGGTAAACTTTATTCACTCTTGTGACATAATCATTGTCAGTTTTATGAATTTTTGTCAAATATAGAAGCTGAAGATCCCAACTTGCCTACAGCATGGCAATCAATGGCCAAACAAGGCTTAAGTTTTATTTTATTTTATTGTTTTGAGATTGAGGCCAAGAATGAAATTTTTTTTGACTCCTTTTAGCTATTGTTATTAAACCCATTTGGCTTTGGAAATCACCTTTTGTTGCAGACTTAGTTATATTTTGAGTTCTTTTTGGAGACAGGGTCTTGCTTTGTCAGCCAGGCTGGAGTGCAGTAGCATGATCATAGCTCACTGCAACCTTACACTCTTTGGCTCACGTGATCCTCATGTGATAATACTCTTTGGCTCATGTAGCTAGTACTAGACATGTACACCACCACGCCTGGCTAATTTATTTATTTTTTGTGGAGACAAGATCTGTGTTGCGCAGGCTGGTCTTGAACTCCTTGGCCTCAAGAAATCCTACTTCACCCTCCCACAGTGCTGAGTGAGATCACAGGCATGAACCACCATGTCCAGCCTAGACTTAGTTATATTTTTTGTTGTTGTTTTCTTTTTGAGACAGGGCCTCTCTCAGTTGCCCAAGCTGGAGTGCAGTAGTTAGTACAGTCTTGGCTCACTACTGCAACCTCTGCCTTCCAGGTTCAAGTGATTCATGCTGAGACTACAGGCTCATGCCACCACACCTGGCTAATATATATATATATATTTTTTAAGTAATGAGGTCTCCTTATGTTGCCCAGGTTGGTCTTGAACTCCTGGACTCATGTAGTTCCCCCTGCCTCAGCCTCTCAAAGTACTGAAATTATAGGCATGAGCCATCATGCCTAAGCTGACTTTTTTTTTTTTTTTTTTTGAGACGGAGTTTTCTCTTGTTACCCAGGCTGGAGTGCAGTGGCGTGATCTCGGCTCACGGCAACCTCGGCCTTCTGGGTTCAAGCAATTCTCCTGCCTCAGCCTCCCGAGTCGCTGGGACTACAGGCATATGCCACCATGCCCAGCTAATTTTTGTATTTTTAGTAGAGACGGTGTTTCACCTTGTTGACCAGGATGGTCTCCATCTCTTGACCTTGTGATCCACCCGCCTCGGCCTCCCAAAGTGCTGGGATTATAGGCATGAGCCACTGCGCCCAGCCCAGCTGACTTGTTTATATTATTAAATAATTCAAGCTAAAACCACAAAGCAGAACAGTGCTTATACGCAAAACTTACACTGGAGTAAAGTTTTGACAACACCTAACATTGTTTGACTCATAAGTAATGTCACACTGCTTTGTATACCTTAGTGTCAGAAGTTAACACAAGAAGCAGTATCTCCATTCTCACACAAGATGGCAGCAGATACATTTTCCAAAGCTGTTAAATCAATGCCAGAGCATTTTTTGGACCTCCATTCAAGCACCTCCATTCAAGGAAATTTCCATATTTCAAAATCTATTCATCTATGCAATTGAGGAACTTCCACTTACTCTTCATTTGGAAGTGATTAATCTGCAATGTAATAACATGGTAAAAGGCAGATATCAAGAGAAGAATTTAACAGAAATCTGGTGTTTTACTCTCCCAACTCATAAATATGCTCAGTTAAAACCACATGCTCATAGACTAACACTAGGATTTGACATTACTTGTCTGTATGAAAAGGCATTTTCAAAAATGCAGTGCCTCAAATCTTACTACGAATTGTAATTAGCAAATGAATATTTATAATTGAATTCCAATTAAGTGAAATATCCTTCCTCCAAAATATTTTATTCTAAGGAACTTCCAAATAGACCTGTATTACAAAAAAGGAACATGGTTATTACACTTTGAATTTTGTGTAAATTTATGAAAATTTTGTTTTCTCTCTTTATATAAGTAATTGCACAATATCCTGTTTTGCCTCTTGGCTTTCAAAGTCTAAAATATTTACCTGACCCTTTACAGAAAAAATTGCCAACTCCCTGGCTCATGGTAAGGGAACTGGAAGCTGGAGCTTAAATAAAGGAAAAAGTTTATAATAGGTATCTTTAGTGGATGTATTGTTGATTTAACATAGTATTCATTATAGATTTTACTTGGGACGGGAGGACTTTCTCTTGGTAAATTTATGCAGTTTGCAAACCATAGCCAGTGAAATATCTGCATTTTTCTTTTGTAAATTTTATTAACCTAATTTTAATTTGGCTTATAGACAGCATCAACTGGGCAAGTGGTGAGGATGACCATGTAGTTGCCAGAGCAGAATATGATTTTACTGCCGTATCTGAAGAAGAAATTTCTTTCCGGGCTGGTGATATGCTAAACTTAGCTCTCAAAGGTAACAAATTATGAATAAGTTGAAATTATCTTTTAATTTTTAATATTTATAAATGCAGTATTAAAAACTATGACAAAGGATCTTGTTCATTATTAGTTAACTTAGAGATAGTTACTAGAACTTCTTTTTCATGTCAATTTAGACCTTCCAAATCTGGAGGAGTCAGGAAGAAATGCCCCAGCAGAGTAATTCCAATAGTATTTCACTGAGATAAGGAAACGCTTTGTTTACATAGGTTTTTCTAAATTCCAAATACTTGAATTTCAAACTGTTAATCCCCACACAAAAATGTGATGTCAGTAACTAAATGTAACAAATGTAATTAAGCAAAGAAATTATCTAGCATCATCTAAGCATTGCTGTCAGTCCTTGATTACTGGGACTGGTGTTGCTTCTTTATTATTTCAGTAGTGTTTACTTCAGAAGTTTCATCATGAGTATTTTAGGAAATATCGTGAAGTATTATAAACCCCAGCAAGAAATTTATACACATCTCAGGTTGATTTTTGGACTAAGTCACTGATAGTTTTTAATGACTCTAGGAAAATGATCTTCCCTTTACCATTCCTCAGTAATAATTATCAGGATTTTTGTGAGTTTATTATTTTTTTAATTTATGTGTTTGTGGGGATTCAGGTTTATTGCAAAAAAGTGATGTTTTGTTGATGAAGTTACTAATAACAATAACATGCTATTTATTGAGTACTCTGTTTAAGGTACTGTATTTTATGTATTTCATTTAACCCTTACAATAATATTGTGAAGTGAGACTATTATTATCCTGTCCTTGTTTTACACTTGAAGAACTGAGACTCAGATTAAGTAACTTATCCAGTATCACAAAGATAAGGTGCAATACAACTGGACTATGAATGTAGGTTTGTCTGACTTGAGACCTTGTGCTTTTAACAACTCTGGCTGTTTTCTTCATGGAAGGATCTATTAATGGAAACTTCAGCCTTTTATTGGCTTTAGTCAGTCTACACAGGAAGAAATACCTTCAGTGTTCAAATCATTAGTATGTAAATAATTGAAGAATTTGGATCAGATTAGTAAATTAGCCTCATCCCTTTTACATAAAACCTAGACTTAAGTGAGGTGCAGTGGTATGCACCCATAGTCATACCTACTCGAGAGGCTAAGGCAGGAGGATCCCTTGAGACTAGGAGTTTGAGGCTGTATTGCACTGTAATCACACCTGTGGAATAGCACCACTTCACCCAGCCTGGGCAACATAGCATGACCTTTTCTCAAGAAAAAAAATCAAAAACAAACATCTAGACTTTTAGGTATTCTATTTGTATTTTTCTTCTAGGAAAAATAGCAATTTACTATTTTGGATTTCAAATGAATGATTTTTTTCTTGAAGATTTATTGTTAGAGATTGGAGCAACACAAACAATTTTAATTAAATAGAGGTCATGTGGTTTCTTTGAGTTACATAATACTTCAGAAAAATTTTATATTTTATTCTTGAATGAATAGCGCATCTTAACACTAGCTTGCTTCTTGGCTTTCCTCCATTGCTCAAGAAAAGTATGTTTGGACGTTTGGAACAAAATCATTCATAGACATGGTAAATTTGTTTGATTTTTTTTTCCTGTTATTATAGAGCATTAAACATTAAAAAGTCTTATATTGTACCTAAAGTATAATGTTGAACTAAAATTGTAAGTTAAGCAGCTTTTTAAAGATATAGATAAAATAGAGAGGAAAATACTATAGAAAATTGCATAAATTAAATAATCTTTCTTAAAGATTATTTAATTAAAGGTAATTATTATAATTACCTTTATCATATGGCTAGAAATAACTGGGGTCTTCAATTTTTTTGTCCATCTCAGATTGAAGTTAACATTTACTATCTTCAGGATTGTTTACAACAATCATATGAAATGAATTTTATATTTTTGCCAAAAGTAGGCTAAGAAAACGTAGTGCATAAAGGTATATCTTTTCTATGCTTAATTTACCTGGTTGAGAAGGAATGAGGTATTCATTTCTTAGACTCCAATTTAAAGTATGAAAGTCAATGATGTTTTCAGTTTTGAGAGAACTAAATCTCCTAACCCTGTGAATGGACCAACTGATACAAACTTTATGTTCTTCAAAGTGAAGGAAATGTTTAGTAAGTATAAAATGAAAATACAGGAATGGACCTAGAACTGTTAAGCCTACTCAGCATTTGATTTTGAATATATACCCATGTACTATTTATTTGTTATCTACTATATAAACATAATGTATTTTCCTGAATATGATATTTTACCATTAATATTCTGTTGGACCTCCAAAGTATGTTGTAATTACAAGACTGTCTTTTTTTTCCATCAGAACAACAACCCAAAGTGCGCGGTTGGCTTCTGGCTAGTCTTGATGGCCAAACAACAGGACTTATACCAGCGAATTATGTCAAAATTCTTGGTAAAAGAAGAGGTAGGAAAACGGTGGAATCAAGTAAAATTTCCAAGCAGCAACAATCTTTTAACAACTCAACACTAACTAAAGGAGCCACAGTTGCTGATTCTTTGGATGAACAGGAATCTGCCTTTGAATCTGTTTTTGTTGAAACTAATAAGGTTCCAGTTGCACCTGATTCAAGTGGGAAAGGTGGAGAAAAACAAGGTCTTTGATATCTTTCACGTTTGCTTGCAGTTGAACAATACCTTAGAGTACTTTTTAAAATTATTTCTCACAAAGAAATGAATCTACAATCCAATGAAAACATTTGTTATTGGCTATCACAGGTTGCTGCTAGAAATTATTAAAGTTATACACTAGTATGTTGGTCTGGTGACCTGTTTACATTTTATTATACACGTTATTGGACCATGAGGACATTTGTTTTACCTAGATTTTAAGATTATGGAGACTGCTGTCATTTTCATCTTATTTAAATCTCTAGGTTTATTGGAAGAGTAAGATTGATGAACTATAGCATGCACAATTTGGTATAATAGGGATCATTAATACTTTTAAAAGTTCTACATTAATTGACTTGGAATCCTTAGAAATGGGGTGATAACCCAAAAGTATGAGAACAGGCAAAAAGGTTAATTTTTTTTTTTAAACTTTAAGTAATCTCAGTAATAAAATTTTCTGATCTATATTATATCTAGTGTTGGGTTTATATTTTCACCCATAAACAACTGACACTATTAAATCTTTTATTGTATTTTTTAAAAGTTAAAAGCATTCTAAAGGACATGGTTCTAGAATGATAGAGTATGTAGCCCTAATAGTTTTCCCTCCTAGTAAAAAGTCTGAAATTTATCTTTCCTATAAATTGTTCCATTTCTTCTAAGGATCACTTAACTCTTTATCTCTTTAAAATATGACTAGTTTTCATACTGGGTGAATCAGAAATATATGAAAGGTATACCTTCTTTTCCTACAACAAAAACTTGAGTTTTTTTGAGTTTGCACTTAATGATATAGTCAGTTATTGTAATAATTTTTAATCTTTTTATAGATTTTCTGCTTCCACTTTGTGTGATTTTTTTAAATTCCATATTTAGTATGCTCTGTAAATATTGAAAATGTGTCACATTGGATACATTTTTCTTTTACGTCTAATTTTTACTACTGAGACTGACTTATAGTCTCAGTGCTCAGCTGCCATTTAGAATACGATAATCCTCACACCTGTGATCTTGGCACTTTGGGAGGCCAAGCCAGGTGGATCACCTGAGGTCAGGAGTTTGAGACCAGCCTGGCCAACATGTTGAAACCCTGTCTCTACTAAAAATACAAAAATTAACCAGGCGTGGTGGCGTGCATCTGTAGTCCCAGCTACTCAGGAGGCTGAGGCAGGAGAATCGCTTGAACCCAAGAGGCAGAGGTTGCAGTGAGCTGAGGTTACACCACTGTATTCCAGCCTGGGTGACAGAGCGAGGCTCTGTCTCAAAAAAAAAAAAGGATACGATAATGCTATTTGACATGTTTTTTTGTTTCAAATGCAGTTAACTTTCAGTACACTGAATATTTTCCCAGAAAATTAGAAAATTCATATCCTTGCTATGAACATACTACAGAGTAATAACTATCAGGAATACAGATGTATAAGAATACATTTATAAATATTGTTAAAAACTTTGAACTGTTTGATAAAAATTGTGATTTAGTATTTTTATCTTTCTCACAGACTATGTTCAACAAATAAGTAATTCTCAAATAGTTCTGACTAAAACATACAGAAACCAAATACACACCCAGCATAGAAGAACTTTACTAAAGGCTTCTTGGAAAGCCTTTTGAAATGACAGTTTTATAACTAACATATTATTTAAAATAGAAATCTAGACCCAGTACAGAAAAATAAATACTTTATAGTAAAATGTATTTATCTTTGGCCAGTTTTTCAACACCCAGGTATTAGCCTTGATGTTCAAGAGATAATGTTTCTGTATATTATTTATTATTTGTGTTCTACAATTAAAGATTCTGCTTTGATTTGTTAGATGATAATTTATAGATATTTTATTCTCAAATTTTTGATAAAACAAATTATTAAATTTGGGGTTGAGCTGTCTAAATTGGATGCTAGAAGTAAAATCGAAGTGACCACTATGAAAGATGTATAGGGAGAAGAGTACAGCACAGAGTGAGAAAACAGTGGCACTTTTGTAAGGGTGTCTATTGTTTGGTTAAGTCTGCTATATTACAGTATGCATTATCTAACTGGTAACTATATGTGTCTGAAAATTCCTTTTGTATTAAAATTCTGGAGAAGGAATTCAGGACTAGAATAAAGAGAAATTTTGTAACCTTTTCTATCATGACAGTTTTAGAGTAATGTGTTTAGCTGAGATTAAATGTTCAAGGCTCCAATATTATTTTTAGGAACTTATTTAAGGAGTACTACTTTACAGAAATTAACACATCAAAACCTTTTTAATATAATAAATTATAAGTTACAATAATAAAACGTTTCCTTTAATTTTTCTGATTATATTTTATGAGTTCAGGAAGGAAATGGTAAGAGAATTGTACATTTTCATGTTTTAACATTTTATGTTCGTACTTGATTCAGTCTGTCCATGTGTCATAATTATACATTTACTTGAACACCACTATCTTGGCTTTTTTTAATGGAAAAATGAACAGAAACCGAATGCAGTTAAAGTTTTATTTTTAGTAGTTGTGAAGTTACTTTTATTGGAGAAATAAAAATATGTTAAACTTGATTGACTTTTTAAAGATAAATTGTTAATGCAAGATTAGAATTAATATGAAGTCTCTTTTTAGTATTGTATATATTACCTACTGCAAACTAACATGTCTATTTCTTTGGATTTAAAGAAAAAGAATACATTTATATAAAATTACCTACAGGTGAGTTAAATGAAAAGACTTCACACCTAGATTTTGGGAGATCTAGATTCTAGTTTAGACACCACTGCTTACTGTAAGATTTAAGTCCTATCATTTATTTTTCAGTTTCCTAATTTATAACAGTGGGGATAGCTGCGACATCTGCCTCACATGAAAGTGCTTTTTATTTTTATTTTTATTTTTGAGATGGAGTTTTGCTTTTCTCTTCCGGGCTGGATAGAGTGCAGTGGCGCAATCTCAGCTCACTGTAGTCTTCACCTCCCGGGTTCAAGCCATTCTCCTGCCTCAGCCCCTTGAGTAGCTAGGATTACAGGCACCCACCATGCCCAGCTAATTTTTTTATTTTTAGTAGAGATGGGGTTTCACCACATTGGCCAGGCTGGTCTCGAACTCCTGACCTTAGGTGATCCATTCACCTTGGCCTCCCAAAGTGCTGGGGTTACAGGTGTGAGCTACCACACCTGGCCCAAAAGTGCTTTTTATTTTTTATTTTTTGAGAGAAGGTCTGGCTCTGTAACCCAGGATGTAGTGCAGTGGTGTGATCTCAGCTCACTGCACCCTCCACCTCCTAGGCTCAAACCATCCTCCCACCTCAGCCTCCCAAGTAGCTGGACTAAAGACTTGTACCACCACGCCTGGCTAATTTTTGTATTTTTTTTGTAGAGATGGGGTTTCACCATGTTGCCTAGGCTGGTCTCAAACTGGTGAGCTCAAGTGATCTGCCTGCCTCTCTGCCCCCAAAGTGCTGGGATTACAGGCACGAGCCACTGCTCCCAGCCAAGAAATTGTTTATATATTGTAGATACCATGTTCTTGTCAAGTTCATATGTTGGAAATAACTTGACATTTGTTCATTCTTGTCTTTGTTGTTTTTCATAGAATAGAAATCCCTCCAGCGGTTTATGTTTTTTAGGTCTTGCTCTTATTTAAGACACAGTTTCCCTCTTTTGTCCAGGCTGGCATGCAATGGCACAGTCTTGTCCCACTGCAACCTCCTTCTCCCGGGTTCTAGTGATTCTCCTGCCTCAGCCTCCCATATAGTTGCGATTACAGGTGCCCGCCACCATGCCCAGCTAATTTTTGTTTTGTTTTGTTTTGTTTTGCTTTTGAGATGGAGTCTCCCAGGCTGGAGTGCAGTGGTGCGATCTCCACTTACTGCAACCTCCACCTCCCGAGTTCAAGCAATTCTCCTGCCTCAGCCTCCCAAGTAGGTGGGACTACAGGCTCCCGCCACCATGCCCAGCTATTTCTTTTTGTATTTGTAGTAGAGACAGGTTTCACCATGTTAGCCAGAATGGTCTTGATCTCCTGACCTCGTAATCTACCTGCCTTGGCCTCCCAAAGTGCTGGGATTACAGGCGTGAGCCGCCGCACCCAGCCAATTTTTGTATTTTTAGTAGAGATGGGGTTTCACCATTGTTGGCTAGTCTGGTCTCAAATTCCTGACCTTAGGTGATCCGCCTGCCTTGACCTCCCAAAGTGCTGGGATTACAGGTGTGAGCCGCCATGCCTGGCCTTAGATCTTGTTCTATCAGTTTTATGGTTGTATCATTTACATTTAGGTCTTACATTTAATTGGAATTAATTTTTGGATATAGTATGAGGTATGAATTGAAGTTTTTCTCCATCTAGTCATGAGAAGGAAAGGGTTAACAAAACCTCTTCTCTTGCTCTGGGGAAAAATGATCTTGGGTTTACTTTGTTTAGCAGTTTCTTTGAAAATCTACAAAGTTAAGATAAGTATGGAAAGTCAACTCTTTACCAGGCAGTCTTTTTTGTTTGTTTTAACTGTAAAAAGACAAAGCACATATGTTGACTTCTCTGAGTAAGATATGAAATCACGCCTGTAATCCCAGCACTTAGGGAGGCCAAGGCAGGCAAATCATGAGATGAAGAGACTGAGACCATTTTGACCAACATGGTGAAACCCCATCTCTACTAAAAATGCAAAAATTAGCCAGACTTGGTGGCACACGCCTGTAATCCCAGCTACTCCAGAGGCTGGGGCAGAATTGCTCGAACCCAGGCAGCAGAGGTTGCAGTAACCTGGGATCGCACCGTTGGACTCCAGCCTGGTGACAAAGTGAGACTCTGTCTCAAAAAAAAAAAAAAAAAAGGTGTGAAACCAGTAACCAAGCTTGTTCCTTGTTATAGGGACCTGGAACTTACCTTGAGGTGTTTTTACAAGATTGTGCTTCCTGTCACACACAGGCTTACCTAAGAAGGGTGCTCTCCTCTGTATGCCAGTTGTTTACTGTGCTATATATCCTTACACCAACCTAAGTGACCTTGGTGCCAAGTTATATTCTTTTGGGTTTTCTGAGTGAATGTCTGCAGAGCATGCCAAGTAGGATTGCAGTCAGTTTTTCCAACACCATCTACTAAATAATCTATATCATCCCATTTCATTACATTCCAATTTCCATAATCATAAACTGGGGCTCTCTGTTTTGTTGGTATATGTCAGTTTCTTCCCCAGTACCATATTGTCTTTTTATTTTTTTGAGGTGGAATCTTGCTCAGTCTCCCAGGCTGGGGTGCAGTGGTATGAACTTGGCTCACTGCAATCTCCACCTTTCGGATTCAAGGAATTCTCCTGCCTCAGCCTCCCAAGTAGCTGGGGCTACAGGTGAACACCACCATGTCCGGCCAATTTTTATGTTTTTGTTTTTTTTTTTTTTTGAGTAGAGACGGGGTTTCACCACATTGGCCAGGCTGATTTTGAGCTCCTGACCTCAAATGATCTGCCCGCCTCGGCCTCCCGAAGTGCTGAGATTAGAGGTGTGAGCCACTGCACCTGGCCTGGTGCTCCTCCCTCACAGTCTTTTTTTTTTTTGAGATGAAGTTTTGTCTTACTGCCCAGGCTGGAGTACGATGGTGCAAACTGGGCACCACAGCCTCCACCTCCCAGATTCAAGCGATTCTCCTACCTCAGCCTCTAGAGTAGCTGGGATTACAGTACTTCTCTTTTGTTCATTTGGCCAAGTTGTCAGTCTGCATTTAACACTAATCATGATAGCAGGCATTTTTAATCTTATTTCTCCTTTAGAATCTAAAGTTGCTCTATTAACTCATGATGTTCACTGTGAGTTTTACACTAGTCTTTATGGAAAACTTTTTTATAGCTAATTTAAATATGCATTAGCAGGGCCAAGTGCGGTGGCTCACACATGTAATCCCACAACTTTGGGAGGCTGATGCAGGCAGATAGTTGGAGCTCAGGAGTTCTATACCAGCTTGGGCAATGTGGTGAAACTTCATCTCTACAAAAAAATAAAATTAACCAGGCACAGTGGCATGTCCCTGTAGTCCCAGCTACTTGGGAGGCTGAGGGGAAGACTGCTTGAGTCCAGGAAGTCGAGGATGCAGTGAGCCATGGTCATGCCACTGCACTTCAGCCTGGGTGACAGAATGAGACCTTGTCTCAAAAACAAAAATTCACTGGTCTAGACGATTTTTGGTTTCTCACCTTTAGTAATAGTAATATGGTAGATGACATTGCTTTTTCTGATATTAAACCTTTGTATTCTTGATAAAGTTTTTAAGGAAATAATTTTATCAAATATATACATATGAAAGAGTATGGAAGTGATTAAAATAAAAAGGGTAGCATGCAAAAACCTAGCTATATTCAGAAAAGGCAGTATTACCACTATTTGGTGAGGTGTGCTGGGTGACAATAACCTGAAAAGAGGCAGTAGTAGGTCATAAGACTGGCTTCAGTTCCTCTGAGAATTTACAAGAGCCTTTTCTGGGCAGGTCATTGGGCAAGGCCCTGAGCAAATTCTGAGAAACATTGGGTTATCCATAATTAGTGTATTTTTTAAGGTGTGCTGGCTACTGGAGCATACCTGTCTAGGATTAACTTCACAGAGGACTTGCTTCTGCCTCTGCTGGCAGTGTGGGAGTACCACCATTCTGGAACCACTTCAGTTCTCGCTTGAAGGTTGCCCGTAAGGATGGGAAACCATGAACAGCTTTTGCCCACTCTATTTTGTTGCCCAATGCTCAACTGCTAGGCCATTATGGGCATCCACCCTCAGGGCACCCATACCCCCTCTCTTATCCCTGCAGTTTCCCAGCTCACTGGTTTTGATTGATTTGGGGCCCCCTCTTCCCACTTCTCTGAGATCAGCAGTGCTTTAATGTGTCCCAGCCAGGGTCTTCCTTGTTCACCAAAAAAGTGTCCCATGTAGCCCATCACATCAGAAGTAGAAGTTCCTCCAAATTCCAGACTCTAATAGCCATTTATTACAAAGGAAATCAGTAATGCCTGCTGGCTTTGTTTCTTTGGGGTGTTTGGTTTTTAACTACTTAGAGTATTTACTTTATAAAAATTAATCCATAGTTTGAAATTAACTGGGAGATATGTCTTAATGGGATATGAGCAAGGAATGGAGGATATTAGAAAATAAAACTTAATAACAAGCATGTATGTTTTAACAAGCCTAGGTATTTCATTTTATTTATCTCATTTTGCCACAGATCCTTATAGACCCTTAAATTGAGATGGGCATTTGGAAACATTGCTTTAATACTTAGGAAGATTCCTATGCCTTCTGATAAAAGTTGATATATTTATAATAGTGTAGTTTTACGTATTTTTGTAGTCTATGGTACTCTTATTTGAAATTCTTTGAAAATTATTCATGTATGATATATGGCAACTAAACTCATAAATTTATTGGAAAAACCCACTCTTCAACCATTATCTTAATGATTAAATGTGTTTTTCCATCTGTATATGAAAACGTAAAAACTTTTAAAGCAAAGAAAATGGGCTGCTTAATTCCAAAATTCTGGGATTACAGTGTGAGCTACTGGGCCCAGCCCCTTATGCATTATTCTTGTT